GGGCCTTGATCAGTGGCCATAATGTCTGGGAATCCAATATATGTGCAGACCCATATGCGCATGAACGTGTTCCAAGTTTCGTTAGCCGTCTCATTGGATAGGAAAGAAGCCGCGGAGAATTTGGTGTCTTTGTCTACCACGAGTAGAACAGCTGCATTGTCAAGGTACATGAGGTCCAGGCAGACGGTCTTATTGAAGACGACTTCTCCGTCTGGGAGTGCCACCCGGAACCGGTGCGGTGCATGTGAGAGTCTTTGGCAGAGGTCACATGCAGCGCTGATGCGCTTTAAGTCGTTCAAGACCTGAGGGGAGGTTTTTTCGGGGTCTGCCCTTTTCATGACCGAGTAGAGCCTTTCAGAATCCGGATGGTGGAAATGCCTGTGCACTTTCATGAGTTCGGTTTCCGTGAAGAGGATTTGGGGTCCCCATTCATAGTACAGGTGTCCTAGCTTTTTCTTAAGGGGCACGTCCCATCCTTGTAACCTTGAAGACAGTACGCACTTATCTGTGTCGAGCACCATCTTGTACAGTTCCATGTTGTCTAAGCCTAACAGGATAGGTACGTCCGCATCGACGACATCGACCGTGATAGGGAGGAAGTGACTCGACGTAATGGGTACTCGCATGTTGAGAAGACCTAGTCCAAGGTGTTTGTGTGTCCCGAAACTGAAGACATTTCTTCTCCTCGTTGAGGGGGTCTGAAAGGGAACATCAAACAAGCTGCAGTATGCGCGTGCTTGGGAAGCTCCTATAACCGATTTCTGGGCTGCGGAATCGATGCATACCCCTTGGAAAGTATCTGATGAAGGTATGTCGCATGACTTTCCAGTGACGTATACGTGATTTACACTTGCGGCTGAAGATTCATCATGATCCTGATGTGGATTGTCTTCCTCTGAGCTTGGGTGTTCCAGTTTTAGGATACTTTCAAATATTCGCAGGTCACTGGTCTCTGCTTCTTCCTCGCAGTCCTCCTTTGCTTCGCAATCAAGTTGCTGACATAGGTCCGCGAGAACGTGGTGTACTGCAATTGGTTTTGTGGCGGCCTTCTGCGCATAGTACTCCATTTGGCGCGCAGGTGCCCTGGATGTGTTCAACGGGAGCGTGCAGTCCTTCAAAAGATGCGTACCTCCGCAGTTGAAACACCCGGAGACCGATAGAGGGTTAAAGCTTCCGGTCTTTGCGACTCGGTTGTTCGCGCTTTGGCCGGTAGGAGAGCTTCGGAAAGGCGTACTCCTTCTTTGGAAACGGGACGAAGAAGGGCTGTTGTAGTACCTTCCTTGCCCCGTATACATTATTCCGGCATTGCCGTTGGAAGAAGGCGTCCTTTCACCTAACTGTGCGCGGTCTCGTAAGATCGCGAGTTTAGACTCCTTCTCTAGCTGCAGGGCAGCCTCGAGCTCGGCATAGAGCTGTTGGAATGGAAGATTATGAGTTGCAACTCTGCTTAGCGGTTCGCTCGACCATGGCGTCCCTATTACTGCGTTTCAAAGGAATTCCATTTTGTGGGCGTCTCCTTGGTGGGATCTTGGAGCCTGTCGTGATAGCTGGATGATAGACTTGTAGACCCTTGCAAGCACGGCAGACATCTCTGTCCCTTGGGCAACAAAGGAAGTAGCTCGCAGCGTGTTCAGGTAGTTCTTAACTCGAGTTTGACGTACTGCAGAATTGTACTCATTCTCGAGCATTTGTGTGGCCTGCTGGAAACTGGTGGCGTAACCATCTACCTTGTCGAGGTAATACCTCTTCGCGTCTCCTCGAAGTAGATTGTGGAGGTACTGTAGCTTTTGCAGCGGAGAAAGGGAATAGTCTCGACAAACCTGGAGGTAATCGTCGACGTACTCCATCCAGGACTCCCCTAGATCGCCAGAAAACTTTTTATCTTTGTCTTTTATTCTCATGGCTACATTGTGCGCAACCCTTTCCGGGGAAGTGTGATTCGGAGGGGTCACTTGAGTCGACTGTGAAGTAGGCTGGCTCATGCCTCTTCTGTTCGAACCCGGAGTGTTCGAGCGGGACCGACGGCCGGCAGCAACGATTTCTCGTGCCATGTCAATGGCCGCCTGAGTGTCTTCCGGTTCTTCGTAAAGGCCATGAGCTAGGGTCATTACAACACGGTGAGATGAGTGTTGCTCCAAATTCCCTCCTCTACTATCCAAGAAGTTTCGCAACTCAATATGAACTGCAGGGAGGTCGCATATTTCTTGTTGGAAAAGCGAAGCCGGCGGGAACATGTCAGCGATAGTGCGCTTTAGTTGGGTCCCAGTTAGCTCCGGGGTTGTTTCTAGGAACCGAATTGAGGAGATGAGGCCTTTCTGGGCACTCGTAAGCGCACCCAACGCGTCGTTCGTTATGCCTTTCATGAATGTAACCAGGGGTTCGGGTGGTGACGAGTCGGAATGCTGTCCGCTCTCAGAAGGCCCTGCTCCCTCGTGGGAGGGGGGCGGGAGCATGCTGCGGATCGCAGGGTAACTAATCGGGATTTAGTTAATAGTTCCTTTAAGAACAAGGGCAAAAAATCAGCACTGAGTCGATCTATGATCGGTTGACCTTGTCAGGGTCCGACCCTCGGCGCCTGCAGCTCTTGCAGGTAGAAAAGGTCCGACCTTTGGCGCCCGAAGCCTGTCCGAGTCAAGTAACGACTTCTGCAGTCTACCCACTCTTGCGTTACCAGAGTGGACGCGATGATCCGTACGAAACGTCCACACCAGCCAGTATACAAGCCTCAAAGGGTGTCTAGTTTCTTGCGGGACGCTTGCGCGACGGCCAGTTCAGCGATACCACCCCAACCTACTCAGTGCACAACACCCCAGAGGATTCCCACCCCCGGAAACACCAGACCACAGAGGGTCGACACCGTTATCCGCCCTAAAAAGGATCGGTGGGGTTCCCTGCCGGAGAGGTTCACACTGCCGGTTCGAGTTGCCTGCGTCGCGTCACCGGGTATTAATGCCGGGTCAACCGCTCTCGAGCAAAGTAAGGGCAGTACCACGTCCCTAGCCTCCACACATCTCAACGACCAGGCCTTCAGTCCCTTCCAACAATAACCGAGACCCTATCGTTACTCCCAAACCAACGATGCGATGCGCACAAAAAAAACAGAGCGTGCAGGCTCACCGACCTCAGGACAGTAGAGGCGGGCGACAGCGAGCGGCAGCGGCGGTCGGCAGCGAGCGCCGGCGGGCGGCAGCTAGCTGCAGTGAGTTTGGGGTCGGCTGTTCTGCTGCAATGTGATACCAGGCGCAGTGCAGAGTGTTGACGAGCTGTCGGCGGAGGAAGCAGGCGGCCAGGTAGTACAGACCGGAGCGGCTGTAGGTCGGCAATGTGGCGGCAGGCAGAACGAAGCGCTGACAAGAGACAGCGCGGCAGCAGGCACCGGCGCGACTGCGGGGGAAATGTGGGCAGCGTGGCCCGGACTGCATCAAGAACGGCGGGCGACGG